CATCATTGGCAAAACCGCATTCGTAATTTGTCTGAGTGCACTTTTCGCGACACGTTCTAAAAAAAAAAATTATAAATTAGAGGCTCAGGTTACAAAATTCAATACCATCAATATGAACGTAAGACATAACGAAGAAATAACGATTTTAACGATGTGACAGGAGAAAAACAAATATTGAGTATATTTCTGGTTTTATTTTTTTTTAATTTTCCGCCAAAATAATATATATCATTTAATAGTTAACATTTTAATAACATAAATTATTTTATTTGAGTAAAATTTTACTTATTAACTGAGATTACAGTATAATTTTGTAAATTTTATTTCACATAGTGTGAAATTGTCAATTTCTAATTGATTTAATATTTGAACTTTGGCCAGATTGAGCAAAGAAAACATTTCTCTCGTGATATTCTTTAGACTATTACGCATTTGCCCGTAAATATTTTTCATTCATCGTAAATATTTTTCATTCATCGTTCCATAACAAGTTTTATAAAATCTGGATAAATCGATATACTATAGTTTATTAGTATACTTAGTATACTTAATTTATTAGTATCGGAAAAACAATTTAATTTGATATAAATTTCATGATTGAGCGGAAAAGATGATGATACTAGTGAAAGGTCGATGTGTAGTTAAACGCTTCTTTATCCTGCGACCAGTTTGCAAACAACTACCTGCACGTCGAAAGAGATATACGTAGTATATAAGTTTTCTAGAATTAAACGAAATACACGGCATATCCAAGAAACGAAGTTATGAAACAAGTTACAAAGTTAAAGCTTCCGGCCTTAAGCTATGCAGATTTGTTATTTTTTTGCTGCTCGATAATATTTACTCAAGTGATAAAATTATCAATCACTCATTAAGCGAAGCAATAATAATGTACACACATATCCGCTTTCCAAATGAAATTTTTCATCTCAAAAGGTGAATTAGGATGTCATTGTTCAAAATTTATATCAAATACTTATTTTTAATGTACATATATTACGTTTTTCTATCAAATTGATTTTGAAAGATTTAAGTATAAAGTTACAAATAATTCTTTAAATTTACAAAAAAATGTTTTCTTTTTGCAAATATTTTATATTCATAAACAACGTTAAATTAAATATATTTAATTTGTTAACGGTTTTTGTATAGTTTATTTCAAGATTCTATGCACCATTTACTGTGTCTTACGCTCTTATTAGCTTTCCTTCTTGTCTACTGAGTATCAGACTCAATAATCTCAAATATCTTTGAGATCCTTAACAATTAATAATCTCTATTTATACTTAACAGTTTAGATTATTTAATTATAATTACGTAGCTAAAACTGTTTGATGAGTTTGTTAAAAATGTTTATGTAAAATCAATTAAAGTCGTGCAAAAATGAATTCCCACACATTTACAAAAATGTTTATTGTAATTGAATCAGAATCTGCAGTTTGTCCATGATACACTGGAACGAAGGCAACTCTGTTTTCGGACCGTGTAAAAATCCACTTAGAATTGTAAATTGTAAGCGCTATGGTTAATCTGTCGGAGTTTAAGTGTTGCTCTGTCCCCATTGTACGATTTGCAACGAATCGTCAGCCAATAGCCATGGAACAGAGAATTTCTATCGCCGTGGCATTAGGGATAGATAACACAAATACGACATTACTTTCCATAGAAAATAGAATTTAACACCGGGCGTTATTCTGTTGGGATATTGACGGAGTTTACAATTTATTGATTGTTTGCAAAGAGAGATAACATTATACGAGATGGACTTCATCTATTATATACAAAAATATATGTATATTATAATTTACTGTTAAACAGTTCTAATCGAAAAAGGAGAGTACTAATATATATATTTAATATAGATATATATATATATATATAAAGTATAAATATATAAATATATCAAAAGCACATATTATATATATTTAGTGTTGAAATTTTAAGAATAAAAAAACACAAACCCATGAAAGTACATGCTTTTTCGAATATTCGTGCGAACGGTTGCCAGTTACAATTAGTTCGTCGATTTTGTTGGAAATTGACAATATTATTCAAACGTTATGAACACACTATTGAAAGTAATGATTGCACATCGCAAGAAATTGTGCGATGCAACAATCATTTTCAATATTTTAGATCTTATATTAATTCTCGAGAAAGTATAATCTCGCAATTTTTCTCAATGTTTTGTTAATTACAACTTGTTTGTGAGCACTATTTTAAATTATACAAATAATTGTATAATGTGCATTACTAACATAGTGAATTTATTATTACGAATAACAATGTGCGTTTCGATCTGTTTGACACTCGCAATAGAACAATTCTATAGATTTCGATTCACTCGCCAATACGGAGTAACAAAAAAAAAAAGATATTTAAGTAAGTAACAATGAAATATCTAGATGTAACTATACAAGAATTATAAGTGTATTTATGTACACATGCATTCTTCGGATTATACTGCGTTTCTTTTTTTCCCGACGACTGCCGTGTCGTCGTGACAATTAGCTTAAGTTTAGACGAAATACATTTAGATGGGAAACCGCAATTAGTGCCGGGATTAAATCAATACAGGATTAATCGAATTAGAGAGCAATCGATATATCCTGTTACTTGTAATTTAAATGCCAAAGATGTTAATCCTATACGTACTTAAATGAATGCGCTTGGCTGACGGATTATAGCGGGTGATGTCAATTCAATTTGAAATGTTTGTAATGTGTAAAATATGAAGCGCATTTATACATTTGTTGAACTCTGTTTCAATGAGACAAATAAAAATAAAATTTATTAAAATAAAAGTAATATATTAAACTACGTTCACATTTTCGTGTGAAGAGAAAAATAAAAATCTGCTTTTCTCTTTTAAATATATTTTTGTTTATTTGTTTATTTTTAGATAAAAATTAATAAGAAGTTTTTATTATCATTTGAAACAAAGATATGAACATTATAAGCATCTTTTCAAAGTAATAAACTTATTATTGCGTAGAAAAATATCAAAATTTTTATAAAGCAGTTTTTAAACGAGCTACAGCTAGTATTGCCAATTGGAATACAGTAAGATTCAATTGTATTTATTGATCCAGAGTTCAAGCAATTCATTTGCAATCACTATGCGCCAAAGAAGGGACAAAATGTATTTTTCGAGAAGAAAATGAATTAAACAATTCATCTGACCAGCAAACCGATACCTGTAAAGAAGAATTCTATCGAATCATTGTTAATTATTATTCATAATTCTATCGGCGTTGCGAGTTTTTTTAGACATAGTCGTTGGCACTGCCGACATAGTAATCAATGCTACTCATAAACGAATCTCTCCCTCTCTTTCTCTCTCTCTCGTGGTTACACACGTCTTAATTAATTCCCGTGTAAATGATCGTTTTTTAAGCGAAGAGTGATATATTTGTACGGAAAGTATACTCGTCCCTGTAGACTCCAAATCATTTAATTTGCTTGTATAATTAGCAAAGACTACTAACATATTTGGTGCCGCATTTTTCTTCGGTATGCAGTGTAAAACATCTTTACACGTATGTACTTATGCGGCCGATGTAATGAGTATTAGCAATAATATTAATATAGTAAAGTGTTAAAATTTATTAGACAAATTACACTGCTCGCACAATTTAGAATTGTAAATGTTATATTAATTTTTTTGTAGGTAATTAGTGAATCGTATCACAAAGGTTTGTACATAAAATTGCCGTTTTAACGCGTGTGGATATTTTATATATTGTTGGCGCGATATAAAATTTTTAAATATAAATTTCTTTTAAAACCAATGTTATGTTTAATTCTTATATAAATATTGTGCATATAATAAATTCATATTCAAATATATGATGACACATTTTTAAAAATGCACTGTACAATTTACATTTTATAATGCACTCTTATCATGTGCCATCTCCTGCAGTCTGCTTTTAAGTTGTATTGCGCATATTGGACCTTAATTACGTTTAAAACCTTGCGCTAGTATTTATCAATCCGTTTTGCCTTCATCGATAGTCTACATCGACGAGAAATACGTATATGTATGTATTTGAATAAATCTTTTACTTCGATTGTGTTAACGAAGTAAGATATCGTCTCAATAAAACAACAACAAAAACTGATAAACGTCATTAATATAATTAAATTCTTTTACTGGCGATTTATCGCGCCGACTTTAGAAGTCGTCGATCTCATTAATTATTAGTCTAATTATTAGTCTAAGTTGAAAACGAAGCAAAGCAACAACAAAGTCCCACGTCTTCCAAACGATGAGAGTATTGATTAGTGTTTAGCGAGGAAACCTCGAAAATGCTTTCGAGGGGAAAACTGTCCTTGTATACTGTAACGAGAAATACATTTATATATATATATATATATAAGTATATATATATACATAGAAAAAATATATATGTACATGCGTGTGCGTAAGATGTCGTTGATATGTGAACGAGAAGCGAAAGTCAAAAGTATGTGCGGCGATGTAAGATGTTTGCTGGCACACTATGTTGTTCGAATACCGCCTACACCTAATTGCCCTTATCCACTGTATATCAATGTCTAATAAACTGCTGTTATCCCAAAACTATTAGTATGTATAACTCGTATAAAATCTCTTGTTTTTTTTATTCTTCTTTTTTTTTCAGAAATTACGTAAAAATTAACACATCAAAATATATCAAATATATCAAATATATTGTCATATAAAAGTTGTGTGAAAATTCTATCTACTATAATTTGAAAAAAAATTGACTTTAAGAAGTTTTATATTAATTTAATATCAAAGATTTGATTATTGATCAAAGTAAATAAGAATGTGTTAAAACTTTTATACATATGTTACGCAACAATAAACATTTTCCTTCAGTTATATATTGTTTAACTCATTAACATTCAAGGCAAATTAAAAATAGTCGATAGAATGCTTTTCGTTGCATTAATGTACGGAACTAGTTAAACCAGAGGCTCGAGCATCGTAAACAGGTTGTATAAATTAGTTGTCAGCCCAGCCCAGTCGGATGAGAACTCGAACGCTACTTATCAGATCGTCGTTAGCGACACAAACCTCGTCTCGTAGCAGTCGTAGTCGTCCGTAGCAGCTGTAACCATGAAGTCTTTCATCAATTACTCGGCATCCAGCGATTTCCCGATCGAAAATTTGCCGTACGGAATCTTCTCAACAAAGGACAAGGTGAGCGAAATCAAAGTACATCGTAAGTAGATCGTGTATAAAAACATATTACGTCATATAATTTCAAAGCAATTCTAAATATAGATGTATGTACATACAACTACGCATATTCAATTTTGGGAAAGATTTGAGATTTAGGAAATCATGGATTATATTGTGACAAAATATGATAATCTTTCACAGATTTTATCTTTGAGATTGTTAGGAAAAGTTACAATAGAATTGAGTATAAATTATATTTTTTCATCATATAATATCTAAAGTAAAGAATGGAATGTTTGCATTCAACACCATCTAGTAGCAATTTTATTCTGGTACCATCGGCTGGGATACGTTACTATTGTTTGATAATGTTAATATGTTAACTTTGTAAATTTCAATAAATTACATTATTTTACAATACTTAAAAAATTGCTATATTTATTAGATTTTCTATTAAAGTGCAGGAATTATAATAATGTTTTATTAATTATATAATAGCTATACTATTATATAAAATTAATATACTATTTATTTAAAATATTTTAGCCAGAAAAAAGAATTGGAGTTGCCATTGGTGATCAAGTTTTAAACTTGAGTACTATCGCAAATTATTTTGATGGACCACTGTTACAAAATAAACAAGATGTATTTCACCGTGATTGTCTGAACGATTTTATGTCTCTTGGAAGACCTTCATGGCTAGAAGCAAGATCCAAACTGCAAGAGTTACTTTCTGCCAATAATCAAACTTTACAAGATCCGGAAGTTCGCTCTAAGTGAGAAATCCACAATCGAAAATTAATATTATATATTTATAGATCTTTAGAAACCGCATTGTAACTTTTGTAACATTTTTTTCTTAGAATCTTCGTTGCACAAAAAGATGCTATAATGCATTTGCCAGCAAAAATTGGTGACTACACCGATTTTTATTCATCTATTCATCATGCTACAAATGTTGGCATTATGTTCCGTGGGAAAGAAAATCCGTTGATGCCAAATTGGTAATTTTCTTAATACTTTAAAAATATTATTATACTTGTATTTTAAAAATGTAGAAATAAAATCTAATAAAATATTAATTTATATATGTGTATGTGTATATATATTTATTTATATATATACATATAGGAAATATTTGCCGGTTTGCTATCACGGAAGAGCAAGTTCCGTTGTTGTGTCAGGCACGCCCATAAGACGACCGTGCGGTCAAACACTTCCGGTTGAAGGTGCAGCACCTGTTTTTGGGCCTTGTAGATTAATGGATTTCGAGCTCGAAGTTGCTTTCTTTGTCGGCGGACCATCTACTAATCTCGGTGATACTGTTCCAGCTTCAAAAGCTTATGATTACATTTTTGGGATGGTCCTAATGAACGATTGGAGCGGTACGACATATTAAAAGAATTTACGCTTTAATTAATTTAATTTTATACTGTTGTGTCTTTGATTTTTTATTTTTACTTCTATTTAGCACGAGACATTCAAAAATGGGAATACGTACCACTAGGGCCATTCGGCTCGAAAAATTTGGGCACGACAATTTCTCCATGGGTCGTTACGATGGAGGCTCTAGAGCCCTTTAAAGTACCAAATATAATTCAAGATCCAGAACCATTTCCATATTTGCAGCATGATGAGTCCTGTAACTTTGATATTAAATTGGAAGTTGATATTAAACGTAAGTTAATTCTTTTTTTATTATACGTATACTTTTTTTATAATAGTCATTCACGTTTCTGTATATATTGCTTGTATACCTTATTTAATTGTATATAATTCTATTTTTTCTTGCAGCATCAAGTGACGTAGTCACAACCGTATGCCGCAGCAATTTCAAATATATGTACTGGACTCCGCGACAGCAACTGGCGCATCATACTGTGACTGGGTGCAACATTAATCCTGGCGATTTGATGGGTTCCGGCACTATAAGTGGAGACGTACGTTTGAAATATGATTGTCATAATTGACATTATTAGCAAAACTAATATATTAAATTAGCTTTTGTCATATTTTATCTGTTGATTTCTTTCGTAATATTTCTTCTTTTTAAATTATCTTTTTAATTAAATAATTTATGATATTTATTATCCTACAACTTTGATGATATAAATTATTAATTTAGACTTCGGATTCTTACGGTTCTATGCTCGAGTTATGCTGGAAAGGCACACATAACATTCCGTTAAAAGATGGTACAACAAGAAAATTTCTTCAAGATGGTGATGAAGTAATTCTTCGTGGTAATTAAATAAATTAATTTTATGTTACTAAAATTACATAGTAATTACATAGTAATTTATTAACATTTAACAATGTTTTCCAGGTTATTGTGTCGGTGATGGTTATAAAGTCGGTTTCGGGTCATGTACGGGTAAATTGTTACCTGCTAACCTGCCAACACTATAAGTGAAATTGGTGCATAAGTAAAAAATTACAAATATTTTGCTGTTTTCTACATCTTAATTTTATATTTGATTTTGAATATATAAAATAAACTTTTTATTTGATATATATTATATATACACTTGCTTCCTATTGTTTCAAGTTATTGTTCCAAATCATCAATAGCGAGAGTTGAAAATGACAATGATATTTAATTTTAAGTTAAAATTAAATAAAATATAATTACCTATATAGTAATTAAGCAGTGAATTTTCTGTCACAAGACACTACATAAAAATGTTTACCAATTACATTTTTTGCTTTAATTATTAATTATAAAATTTTTATTATTAATTTTTATTTTTGATTTTTATTTTTTATTAATATTTATTATAAAATTTTTATTATTAATATAATTACTTATTTATAATATTTCGCGTATTGCTAATAAATATACAATTAATATAACCGAATCAATGTAAAAACTAAACATCTTACTATAATGTGCTGTGTAGTATGACGTATAAAATGACTCGATTATTGATTGAAAGAGAATAGTCGCGTAGTAAAGGCCGATCAATAAGGAGGCCAGTACAGGTGCAGACTGAAGAAACATGGCAGGCGTTCTACTTCGGTAAGCAAAATACACAAATTTTAGTTATAAAAGTGTTTTTATTCTTACAAGATTATTTAATATATAAATTATTTTAATCTATCTCGTTGTTATCAATGCTATTATTTTTATAAATATGAGCTACACAATGCCAAGGGCTAATATTGTACATACATCTATGATTGCACTAACAATTTCCTCATAGTAGCAATAAAGATGCAATTATTTTATTAACTTAATAGATGTAAAGTATGTTTAAACACATATACTTATAGAGTTTTTATTATTTCTATAAATAACATACACATTCTAATTATCAACCTAATATACTATCTTTGTGTGTACTTTCTGTAATTATTATCGAAAGTTTTAGTGATATATCGATCGCTACATACAAACACTATTTGTGTTCCTTATACAAACACTATTAGTACCTTACGTTTGACTTATAATTTCAGCACTTACTTTATCGCTCTAACTTTGACATACCATACATTATTTTTAACATTACCTTTTTTAATGCTACAGAGCGTTTATTTTAACGTCTATTTAGAAGTCTTCACAATTTGGAAAGTTCACCGAACGAACCTACCGCCAAATGGACCGTTCCTTTGAGCGACGGGAATCACGTGGTGGAGTTCGAACATGGGACAGCAACAGGCCGACGTCTGGTAAAAATCGATGGCAATAATGTAGTTCACAGAGACTGGATGTTTCGTCTGGTCGGTGATGAAGTCTTTATGTACAATAACACCAAGTTTGTGATCAGAGTCGATCCAATGCCAGGTAGAGTCTTAATATCATTTTTATTCTTGCGACGATAAACACTTATTATTATTTCGTTATGGTGATTAAATAGGTCTGAAATATTCTTACTCGTTGTGGGTGAACGGAAAGAGTTTCAAGCAATTTGTTCAGTCGCAATCAAAAATACTAGAGACTTGGTTGGCCAAAGTCGGAAACGAGGAATATAGAATCGTGTTGGGTAATTAATCAGAGCACTGTATACATATATATAGTAGTTATAGCTGAAAGACTTGGCTCTTATTCCATGACACTTGCAGATAAACACGCTCACAGCGTTTGGGTAAATGGACAAGAAGTGGAAGTTGAGGTAAAGATAAGAGTAAAAATATCTACCACACGTGTGCTTTTACGTATTCAAATAGCAAATGTTTTAATTTTAATATACTTATAGTATATAAATTAAATAACAATTTAATCATAGAACGAATTTATGGACGGCGGCGCAGAAATTCTCTTTTCCGTTGGCGATTTACCGGCCGCTATCAGATCTTACAGTTCAGATCAAAAAGAAATCGGTATAGCGTACGTTTTATACATCAACGACATTGAAATACAACAAGAAGCTTTATTGGAAGAATCTTAAATACAATTAAGCCTTGACTTGTTTAACTAGATTTTTCGTGTTTAATATACTAATACAGATAAGTAGATAACTAATAGGTTGATAAGCTTATACATTTTTAATTATAAATATGTTATCTATAATTGATAATTATAGATTATGTGCATTATTAAATAACTACACAAATTTGAAACACAATAGTTAAGAGAAATGTTATTCTTTTAATAAAATACTTAAATTTAATATCAATATTATTAAATGTGCCATACTATTTTGTGTAGATTTTTTAAATTCCAAAATAAATTTGTATGCAATGCAATGTATTATAAATTTATTTGCTTTAATTTACCCGAAAATATATTTTATTATTAAAAAGTAATACGTGAAGATAGTTGGAATTTATATAATTCCATGTTCGTGTGACATAAGAATTTTGTGAGATATAAATAGAATCGTTTGAATATGTGCATTACGTAATATAAGATATTCTCTAAATAAAATGCTAAATTTTAAATAATCTAATAAGAATATCTTAAGATTGAACTTGAAGATTAAATATGTCACGACAACAAATAAGCGGTGCTCCCAGCATTGGATCTTTACTTTTAACTCCTAAACAAGATGAATTCTGTTATTATGAAGGTAAGGAAATCGATGTATTATATCTCAATTATATCTCAAAAATCACGAAAAGCTTCATTGATCTCTAGAAATGACAGAAACGGAATTACGACAGATACTTGAAAACGTCGTTTATTCAAATCTATTCTTGAGGTTAGAAAATGACATTTTTGAACGATACCTCGCCCGTCGAGATCCTGAAAGTCTTCAAAGTAATTTTTTTAATTTAATTTATATTTATTTCAGTTTTTCTCAAATTCTGACATTTCCATTTTTAGATTTATCTTTTCGCAAATGTATTAATATCAACGTTATCTTTTAACATATCTTGTCCAGCAATAACGCAAATCTTAGAAACCGCTAAACGCGTACAAAAAATTGTACCTCAATACGATCGCGCATCACCCGTTACGAGTCTGGCCGGAAGTCTTGCGAATTTTCGCGACAGAGATTCAGTGAGCGTCACCAGCGTGCGATCCGGAAGTCGACACGTCACGCCAAGTGTTTTAACAGCCAGAGCACCAACGGGAGGAACAAAGTCTGTCTAGGCTGTAACTTCTACTACAGTTTGCTCTGTACAATTCCAATATTTCTTACCGAATCGCAGAGTCTCGTACATGCATCGCATCGAAATGGCAAACACCGAAATTCGGGAATTGCTGCAGGGACTAAAAAAATTGGAACAGATGTCGACGAAGAAAAAGATATTTCTGCGAGCGCGAATGGAAGAAAATCAGATTAGCACTCGCGAAATTTTAAAAAATAGGGAAGAATTTGAAGAGAATGTTGTACAGAAAGGCGCAGATAGTATTACGGGAAAAATACCAGCTGAAAAGTTCATCAGGTGTTATAGTACATCTAAAAAACAATTATATGTTAACTCCTTGGTAATTATGTAGACAGATCTGATAGAGACATGAAAGACTCAAGATATTATTGTGTAGATTTATAGAAGAATGGCTAAAAGTAGTCGATATCGTAATGGAACACATTAGATTGAAGATGGCTACCATAAAGTGTCAGATAAGAAAAGTCAAGCTGCAGCTGAAGCAGAGAAAAGAACTGGGCGAGGCTCTACGCGCCGTAGATTTCGAACAATTGAACATAGAAACACAAGTCGGCATACGAAAAATCGACGAGAAGAATCAGTATGTGCTCGAAATGAAGAGAATCGCGGGTAAGAAATAGATGCTCAATGATTTTTGCAATAACATAAATCGTCGAATTTGATATTGATAGGTCGCTCTAGTATTACATTGAGCAAACACAAAGAAAAAGTGGATCGCTTGATGTTAATGATGAATGATGTGAGAGACAAAATCGTTTCCAAAAAACAAGAGATTGTGAAATTGCAATCGGAACAAATTGCTGCAAAGAATGTAATAGAGAAAGAGGAAAAACAGCTTAAGTCGATGATAGAGTTAATAGAAAATTTTAAGGTAATATTTTACGTTTTTATGTAATTAATTTTAACAGATTATTTATGGAAGTTTTTTCTACAACAATATTTAATCTTTTTTACATCAAAAATTAAGTATAAGATTTTAAAAAACAGAAGAATTTTTATTATCTCACAATATCTTATAAAAAATGTCATAAATGTAGGTTCCGAGTGTTATAGATTCAATTAAAATGCGTATGGAACTACAAAATTTAGAAAGAATTCACAAGCAACTGAGCAGGCAACGAGAGATTCAACGAATAACACTGAAGTCTCAGAAACAATTACAAGACGTATCATAAATACACTAACATATTTGCGTAAAGAATATTGAAAATTGATATTCTGTTATTATGGCAAATGTAGTTTTGCTAATCTTTGTTGTCAAAGTTTTTTTCTATTTTTAAGAAAAAATTCAAGCACCTATCCGCTATACTGTATTGACAATCTAAATCGTATAAAATGGTAGACAGAATTACACGAAATCTAGAAGGTACATTGTGTCTCCTTACTTTTCTACCGTAGAAAATAGATTTATACCGTTGCGTTGTACGCAATATCCTGAACAGTTGCGAGCAGTGTATGAGTTAAACTCTCTTGTCACAAACTTAGGCTGAAGAGAGATATCTATAACTTTTAATTTTATTTAATATGTTTAAAAGCATTGTAAAAAAAAATATATTTAACAACTAAAATGATATTTATCTACTATTAATATATTTGAGTTTTATATAAATAAAATTAAAGAAATATATCTTCTTCTCTGTTTTTATAGTAAAAAAAAGATTTTTATTCAGCAATACGGTGGTAAATCATAAAATCTGTACATCATAATGTACATAATCAATTGTTTTTAATAAATACATTTTATTGAGAATGTAATTTATCTAATTTTACTTTATTTTTTTTATTTTAGATACACATAATATGCAAAAAAATTTTTACGTAAAATCTTTTGTAATGCCATGTTACGTAATTAAAACGTCGTTTTAAAAGAATATAGAATAGTATGTACAAAGCAATATATTAAAAAATGTGCACAAATAAATATATTTACATGTACAAAAGGGGATTAATTTTATTATTTTACTGTGTTATGGACTTCCATGTCATTTTAACAAATATATCATTTTAATAAATTTTCTGTGGAGATGGACGTAGTAAGATTGAAACGTTATTTTTAGCAGATATACAGCTACAGAAATATTAACAACTTTTTCGAATTAATTATTATGACACATATTTAACCAAGCAATTACGAAGTTAAAGCGATGTAGAAAGATTTTGGCGTGTGCTACGATGCGTTAGGTAGTTACGCTTCACGCACCGATAGTGCCTGTCCCTTCCTCTTTTTGCCCGAGGAATATCCGTCCCGGAAAGGCTCATCTCTCTTTCTGCCACGATTCAGTTTTGCCGCGACGACAGCATCGAGCTTTGGTTGTTTAATTCAGTTGTCGAACGACTGATCGATTGTTGTACAAAAGTCTATAAATTTAAAGAACATTGTGTTTGCATAGTAAAATGTCGCTTATAATCGTTCAATTTTCTTCAAATTTTTGACACGTGACGTTACCTGAGTTCGATTTAAATTATGACTTAGTCTTCGCGAGAGACAGCATAAACTTTTATGTTACGCAACTTACATATACATTAACGAGAAATGTATTATTCTTCTGTTATGTAATTTAAATGTGAGGCAATTGATATCAAAATGTTGGTGTAATTAAAAAATCTAAATAATAACATAATTTTTCGTACATTTTTAAGTCATCATTGTGCTTATCTGCTTGCACTGTGGCAAATTATATAAGATTCTTCTTGAGAATGAAAAATATCTTAAAATGTGTACAACGAAATTTGCCGTGTCAATTACTGGTGCAATAATGAATTTGCCAGAGAGAATGACGACAATAGGAATTCGAAATCTCATTGCTTTTTTTATTATTCTTCTGCATGGAGGAATATATGGAAAATATTTGGAGGTAAGACTGTAAATCAATTCACAATCATTCTCTTTGTCGAAGTTAGATTTCCGATCGTTCGTACTCGAAAATTATAGCTTTCGCTCTCTAAAATATGTCAGTTTAATTTATATATTCGCAATTGTTATTGGCATCATATTATATGTTTAATATGTAGATTTTTAGGTTTTGTTCGTTTGACTGTTCCTAATTTTTTATTTCAAATAAAATACATGTTTTGTCCGATTTGATATTACTGATAATTATAATTTTAGCAATCTACAGTAGTATTAATTTTTAAATCTTTTCCTAATTTCTTTCTCTTATTATTTAAAGGGTCTTAACATGAATTTGGGAGATGCCCTTCAATTTCTCAGACAATACGATAGCGAAGCCTCACACAGGTGCACGAGAGTGACGACAGCCCAGTGGAACTTCGAGACAAACGTTACTGATGTTAATCACCAGAAAATGGTGTAAAAATGTTTTTAATTAAAAGAATAAATTAATACAAATAGATAGTTTATGTAACACTTTATGAATATTTATATAATATCTGATCTAATCTCATCAGGTGGACGAACAAACATTAAAATTAAAATTTGAAAGAGCTTCTTGGCGGGAAGCGGTTACTTTTGCTTGGAGTCGAATACCAGATCCTTTAGCAAGAAGAGAACTTAAAATGATTGCTACGAAAGGTCGAAGTTCCCTGAGTGATGATAAATTAATGAGGTAAAAAAATCACAATAAAAACAATTTTAATTTAATTATTATGTAAACGTGATTGCGATTGTTTGACCAATTATTATTACAAAAAAAGTAAATGCTGTTAAATGAATATGATCTGCGATTCTATCTATTGGGTATAAGTGGTGATCATGGCGCGGGAGCTGCGCGTCTGCTCTGTTCTAAGGATTCAAGTTCAAATCCACCCAGAACATATCAGATTGTTTTCGATCACCACCTCTCGAAAGACAATGGCAAATCATTGGGAGTATTCCCGTCAAAACAGTCACCATGAAAATGTACACAAATGAAGAGCAAGATTGTCATATATGGATAATTCATGCGCTCTCCGAGTGATTGCATAAAATGGAGATCACGATCTTCAATCATGAAGGATCTGTAGAGAGATTCAGAATGGGTAACAACGACATGAGACGGTTAGGCTTATTCTGAAATGGCAAATAAAAATAACTAACTCATGCAGTCTTAACCGTTTCATCTCATTATTATTTATTTTGAATAAAATTTAGTAATTTAACACTTTAATTTCTATTTCTATTTTCTTTTTTTTTACAATTGCGATAAATATTATCACAGCCTCAGTGATTGAATAAGTACGATAACTGTCTCGGATAGGATCGAGAGAGGTTCCAATCCTGGTTGAGGTAATATTTTTCGCAATAAGCTTCTTTACAGTGTTTTAAGATGCTTGTAGCATCTGCACCGAATGAAGATCAATTTAATAGATATGTGATATTATTTTAGTTTTAAGTTATAATTGCGTTTTTAAAGACCGATAATAATCGGCGCACAGTTTACAAGAGCTGAAATTTAAAAAAATGTAAAAATTAAGATTATTATTGAGCAACTATATCTGACCTCGGTCGTACTTGGCTCTTTTCTTTTTATTATTTGTTGTATACATATATCGATCTTGTTTGAAATTATTGTGATTCTATTTATTATTGCATTCATTTACATATGATGACTGTAGCTAATTTTCAGATACATCGTTTGATAGCGGAGATGAAAGAGATGTATGTTAACGCCAGAGTATGTTCGTACAAACAAATTGATGGCGAATGTAATTTGAATTTGGATCACGGTTAGTCAATCAATTTAATTTATTACACACATAGATAAATATACATAAAAGAAATAATTTATATACACTTTTATATACATATATGCGTGAAAAATGGATTTAGATCTAAATAAAATAATGGCGCAGTCAAAAGATTACGACGAATTATTGCATTATTGGCATGCTTGGCACGAAGCAACTGGCCCACAACTACAAAATAAATATTTGAGATATGTTCAATTGGCCAATCAAGCAGCTAAATTAAACGGTATAAAAAGCTTTCATTCTAAATGTATTATACTATCATTCCATATTACGATATATTCGATTTTACTAAAAATATTTATTAAATATATATATTTTTTAAATATATTTAAATTAATAAACATGCTTTTTTTTGCAAAAGGTTTTGCCGATGCTGGCGACCAGATGAGAGAATCATTTGAAGATGAATATTTCCAGCAAAATATAGCGGAGATAATGTCAGCTATAACTCCACTCTATAAGAATCTTTTCACTTATGTGCGATCAAAACTAATTGAAAGATACGGTGATAAAATACGCGAAGATGGGCCTTTACCGGCACATATTTTAGGAGATATGTGGGCTCAAAATTGGGAAAATTTGTTCGAATTAGTGCAACCATTTCCTGCAAGCAGAAAGCTCGATGTAACTTTAGATATGATGATCCAAGGTATTACTCCAATGAGGTATGTTTCAAATTTTACAATAATTTTGTGTAAATTTATGAAAAACATAAGTAATTTTATAAAGAAAAATTAAAAGGATATTTTTGATGTTAAAAAAGGATGTTCCAAATAGCAGAAGAGTTCTTCACTTCGCTCGGAATGAAACCGATGCCACCGGAATTCTGGAAATTCTCCATATTTGAAAAACCCGTTGATAGAAAAATTAAGTGCACTCCCAGGGCGTGGGACTTTTGTAATAAAATTGATTACAGGTGGCTTTTTAAAATATTTTTGTCACATGGCAAAAGAAAATTAATTTAATTTTTTATTTAATTTTAACGTATAAAACTTTTTTGTATTTTATTAAATAACAGATCAATCTCCCCATTGCATTTTGTTACATAATTGCAGGATAAAGCAGTGTACTAAAGTTACAATGGAAGATCTACTGTCTACCCATTACGAAATGGCGCATTTGCAATATTATTTACAATACAAGGATCATCCACTATCATTCCGAAACGAGGCAATTCCAGGTATATCTATTTTATATGTTTTTGGAATTGTATGTTTTGTTATTAACAATAATTTTATAATTAGGATTCCACGAAGCTGTTAGCAATGCAATTGGTTTATCCATTTTAACTCATCAACACTTACATAAAATTGGTCTGCACGATAATTCAACGTACGATTATGATAGTAGCATAAATTTTTTAATGCTAATGGCTCTCCGCAAAGTGGCTTACTTGCCGTTTGCTTATATAGTTGATCAGGTAAGTAATAACAAACAATATTAAATGATTAATAATAATTAATACTTGATTTCCATAGACATTGTTTTTATTATTACTTAGACTATTTATTTATAAAATAATATTTGAAGATATAAAAATGTTATTGTTACATATGTAAGAATAATTTTTTAAATCATTAAATAATTAAGTAATAAAACGTACGTATTTATTTTTTTTTTTAGTGGAGATGGCGTGTCTTTAGCGACGGCGTGGAAGATATGACAACTCATTGGTGGGAATTAAGATTGCAATATCAAGGCATTGTTCCGCCTATATCTAGATCCGAAAGAAATTTCGATCCAGCGGCGAAGTATCACATCCCAGCGGACAGTCCTTATACCAAGTAGAAATATAATAAATATGTTAAAGACAATATTTATATATAAAAATGTATAACTTTTATACCTTTAACTCTTAGGTATTTTGTGAGCACTGTATTACAGTTTCAATTGTTCCAGTCCTTGTGTGAAATTTCGAGTCATACTGACGAATTGCACACTTGCGATCTTTACAGATCACGAGAAGCAGGTCGACTATTATCGTACGTAAAGTTTTCAAAGACACCAATAAAATAGCAATTATTAAATTATTAATTGTTAATAAAATAAGATTTTTTTACATATTTGCAGAGATGTCCTGTCGATGGGGGCTTCTAGACCATGGCAAGATGTTGTCAGGCAAATGACAAGAGGCCGAACGAATAGAATAGATGCTGGTGCCATGCTCAAATACTTTGAGCCTTTAAATGCGTGGCTGAAACGACAAAATGAGATGCAGCCTGTGATCGGCTGGATTGCAAGTCGCGACGACAGAGGTTGTTTTAAAATTAATATTTTTATTTAATAACTTGAAATATCGTACAATAAAGAGTGCAAAGTGTATCTTGTGAGAATAGGAATTTTTCATTTTGTTTCAGAATTTTTCGTTCAATGGTATCAAAACAGTGCACGAAGAATTGAATTGTGGAATTTATTCCCTCTACTGCTTGTAATATCTAAAATTTTTATTTGTTAATAATATATTACATCGCTCCGATGATTTAAAATATTTATACATATAATATACAAATCTTCTTATATGTTATGTTATAAAGAAGATTATTTTAACTTAATTTATTACATATGTATTACATATGTATACTTAACGCACGCGCAAAGATCGAAGTTTAGCTTGCTATTATATTTTTTACTATTTCTTACTTTAATCACGATATTCAAGAGACAAGAGTTTTAAATTACATTAATTTCTGTAAAAAGCTAATGATCTTTAATAATATCTTATTGTTAATATATATTTTGTTGTACTAGTCCTTTTTATTTTCTTTTTAATTTTACATTTATGGATACTTATTTCTTAGAACATAGTGTCACTTTTTGTTAACTCTTTCTTTTCTTTCAGTTTCCTGATCTTAGTTTTCTAATTTTTTCTTTTAGTTTTCTAATCTATAAGTGTTAATCTTGGCAGAAATTTTTAAAAATTATTGTAATCAATAATATTTTTTGCAATATCATATCTAAATACTCAAAATTCTTTCCTTATTTTCTCTTTTTTTATATAATGACTATATCTTATCGCTTTTAAAAGACGTCGTTCAAACGGAATAGTTTAAATATACATTTTAAAAATATAAATTAATTCTAATCTTGATTTAAATTACTTTTTATTTTTTTTTCAATTCTTAGTACTAGAAGAAGATAAAAAGTAAGTTAAGCCGAGGTTAAAGTTAATTAATCTACATTGATAGAAATGGATATTAGGATTCTTTATTAACAACAGAAGGTTCAGAGATATGACGTGTTCAGCAATATTTTAACTATAGATGTCACTACTGATGAGATATTGATATCTTCTGGTTTGGTAGCAACTTTTGAGATTAATGTAGTGGTTATGTCAAGGTTGTGTAAGGTTTTGTGATGAATATAAGTATTTGAGTATTACGCGATCACAAGCTAGTAACAATTCATTAAAAGTCTTCCGTAAGTTTTCAATATTCAAATTTTTCAAATTTTTATCATACACGTGGCAATTCGCGAGAATATAAAAGTATTACATATAAATTCTTGGTTAGGAAAAGAAGCGGCGTTTTTCGAACATGGATGTAATGTTCGCTCGCGGATTGAGATTTAGCGTTGAACTAGGCAATGCCTCGATATTGTTAACAAAATATCTTCCATTATCGGCATGTTACACATGCCGTGTCAATACCACACGCTGGAAGTCAGCATTCCCTGGTAAGCTCGAACACGTGAACATGATGAACATTAATGGGATCCAGTATGCACATTGCCAGGTTTATTTTAGTTGCAGAAAGATATCAACATTATAGGGCCGCGTCATATTATTCCTTAGGCCTCGTAAATAATATACTCGTGTATCAAAAGTCATTGAGACAAGACATTAGTAGAAATGGTATTAGACTGGCATACTATTCGGATCTCAAGCAAAGTTTTGACGGCGATTGCCAAAAACCTCAGACGGAACAGAAACTAACAGTATTTCAAAAAATGAAGCAAATGACTAAAGATTACTGGCACGTGTTAATACCTGTGCACGTGGTCACTTCTGTAGGATGGGTAGCTATATTCTATATTGCCGTTAGGAAGTACGTACAAATGCAATTGATCGATATGTTGTTTGAGTTGGGCAATTAATTAACGTGAAACATATTTTTAGTGGTGTCGACATAGTCCAGCTGTTGGAATACATGAATTTTAGTGAAAAATATGTAGACATAGTACGTAACTCGAGTGCTGGCAACTGGGCCATTACTTATGCGCTGTATAAGATATTCACCCCACTGAGATATACTGTTACTGTCGGTTTGTAATTTTAATATTTTTTACGTAGTAGATAATTTGCACTATTAAATATTAATTATACTGAAATACGTAACAGGAGGAACGACAATGGCTATTAGATATTTGAGCAAATTAGGCTACGTGAAGCCGTTGTCATTCAAGCTTCAATCAGTAGAGGTAAGTAATGTACGCGAAATGCAATGTCATCTGCTGAAATTGAAAAAATAATACTATCTAACTATATGTCTATATTTGCATTTGAAACATGTCTTATCTGTTTTCTTGTTACACGCACACGTGGTGCAGCCTACGGGCAAAGCTATGAGTAGGTTACCGATCACGATTAATCTCAAGTATATCGTGTTGATCTCTTTTGCTTTTGTTTTGGGCGAGGTGCTCTTGTCGCGTGAATAATATACCTATATCGTAGATCTTTTTCGTTCACGGCGACACGTCTGCTCTTTCTAATCGTCTTTAATCGTGTTGTAGCCAGTACAGTCGAACAAATGTGCAGCGGAACACAAGACAAAATTCAAGGCAGAGTGTAAAACGGACCGACACACGGAACCGCCGAAACCATGAATACTTCTCCCTACGTCGAATGATACGTTGTATCGTGATGTCCCGTTGTATATTTCTCTTTACAAATATATATACATGTTATATCATGACAAATCATTTCCTGTATTCAATATTCCTACTTGACTTATATTTATCCCGTTCGTCATCTCTTACGCCAAGTCAAAGTACAAGGATTATTCAAGGTACACGGATTTTCTTCCAATGCAAAAATCGAGTTAAAGTAAAAGAAATGCATTTACTGCAGTTTGTCTTTATTGAAGGATAGTCATTTATACACACTGCATATGCGATTTAAATAAGATTACGCTGTTTATCTACAGTATGCGCGCGAATTTAAAATTACTTGTATATAACGTAACAATCATGCTTAGTTCTGAAGAATAACAATAGTTATTTGGCAGCTCGAGTTGTGCGTCTTTCAATGCTGTAATATTGCTCATATATTTATCGTTTATAGCACGCCTACATAATTTTTCCAGTCTCGACTCTATGCTTTGTGTGTGAGAACACTAAAGGCGTCATTATAGACTTCGAAGTATACCGACAAATTTCAGTATTACGCGAGTAATTTCTCAATATTACTCGCAGCGAGACAATATATCTGTCTTAATAAATACTGTTAATGAATGCTATATGTATATGAAGTACAATAAAATTTGATCAAAGAGGAAATTCGCAGGAATGTGTTCCCGAGATTCATATTTCCCACCATGAATTCGCATTATAATATATAATAAACATACCATAAAAATATTATATACACACGCTAAAAAGTATAAAGTTTTAAAAAAACGCATAATTATTATGCTACTATATCACAGTTGCCTGCGCAACTCGTTCATTCTAATGAAACCCACTGCAAAGACACTTTGTAGAGCACCTTTGCTAAATAAATAAGAATCGCATATATTAAATGTACCACTTATCTAGACTATCTTCGATTAAAAAGAAGAACTTGTACTCATAATCATATACTATGTGCACTGACGTGTCGAATTGATCCCAGGAGACACTTAAACGATTGTAATTTTTCAACCAACATTTTCCTACCAGTCTTATAATTATGTCAAATTTAAACTTTGTTTAAAAATTAGAATAATTGAAATCACATTTTTTCGCGACAAGAAATGTTTCTAGTACGTGACAGATAATTGATTATTATTTTTACATTGATTAACAGCCACTATTATCATGTATCGATTCGATAATTTACCCTTCATAAGAGATATTAGTAATTAGCACATATACCGCGATAGATTAACAATAACAACTATTATAGCGAGAATCTTGCGTAATAAGTATAAGTATGATCGAATCGTTGTTTTTCGCTCACGGCGACAGTAGATGACAATCAATTTTAACGCGAATGAATATTTTGCAAAGACCAGAATTCTACAAATGCCTAATCATATTTATCACGAATGCCATATTCTTTTATCGACTACATTTTAGCCGCCCTATTTTTGTCACCGATCCGCAGATTGTCTGCGTTCAATCATGTAGCAAGTACATCAAAGTCAACTTGATTTCTATTAATCCATTCGACTAATCTGTCATCCTATTTTGACAAATGTTGACATTTTTTGCCAGTATTTTCCTAATAACATTGTATATACTAGATTTTGTATCATATCTGTAACTTTTTTGCCGACAAAATTTAATACTTAATCTAAATCAGAATCTATTTTCGATTAATTTTGATTGTCTGGTGGATTTCGAGAAAACCTTAGGAAAAATAAAAATCGGAATGTAAGGGGAACAGAAGTGTAAACGAATAGACGATTATGCTTCTTTTACGTTTTGTTACTCGATTTTTCGTCTCTTAGAAGTTTCGTTTCTAGATACTTCTAGACTCTTCGCTTACTTATTTGTTCGCTTATTTGACATACATTCCAATCTTTATTTTCACCAGGGCGCTTGTAATTGAAGTAATAACAGATTGTATAACATGCCGATCTCACAAAGTTCAATCTTAGTTTTCTGTAGTGCTCTGTCATAATCCAAGCAAGTTATTTACGTTTAAATGTTTAGCTAAAATGTTTTATAGTATATATAAAATGTTAAATATAAAATTTATTAAATTGTAAAAATGTCTCGTATAAAAACGATATTTTATATTAAAAATGTTTTATAATAAAAAATGTTAAAGAAATATTAAACGTCTTATAAAACGTTTTTACAATGTTTATTAAATAGTTAAATAGTTTAAAAAATGGATTAAATTTTGAACGTTTATTTTTTAATTTATACGTTTATACGATTTTTAACGTTTATTAAACATATTTCAAACGTAACTGCTTGAGAATATATTAGAGCTGAAAATTCTTATTCCGATTAAATCAAAAAACATTGGTATCACATCGTCGCCTTTCCCGTTTCCTAAATACTTTTTCCCGAGAAAATCTGTCTTCAAGATTAGGACCAAGTATGTATTTATGATTATCTGTATGCACGCACACACGTTCTGATTCTCTAAAATTTCGGAATGTTAACGTCGATTCTTTCACTTTACTCAATTGATTTTCATAGTATTCATTATCGAACGATCATTAACGTGCGCAATTCAAAGAGCTCCGACAGATGCTTAAGCATCAATGCACTTAACCCATAAACTGATAGCTAGCTGACACTGGTTGCGGTGCTCTCGGTTGCGTATGCGATATGCGTTGGATGTGACACGCACGGCACATAAGTCTGCCGTCAAGTGGGTAGCACCGCTTATCCGGCTCGTCGGTCAGCTGCATACCGCAATCCTCGCAAACGTAGCAGTCCACATGAAAGTCTTTGTCCATCGAGACCACTCTGACCGTTTCCTCGGTTCCCTAAAATAGAGAATACACGGCTCGTAAAAGGGAGTTTCATCGGAAAACGCGCGCCTCGATGACGTAAGCGAGATAATTTTCAAGCGCGCATACCTCAACCGGCGTGATTCCCTTTCCACAAGACGCGCACTTAGGCGCGAACATTCTGTGGTAATCGTTTACACAATAGATCTTATTGTCAACGTCGACCGTGAAGGGTACGCCATCGAGACACTCGTTGCAGACGCAGCACCTGAAGCAGCCCGGGTGATACGATTTGCCCATGGCCTGCAGTATCTGTGTGGACAAGCAAAGAAGCAAGCTGACGTTACACTGAATTACAATGGAGATCTAACGGATGATAATGATCGACTCTCGTCGTTTACCATTTCCATGATGAGGTGGCCGCAAATCGCGCATTTCTCGGCCGTCTGTTGAAAACCGGAATACTGCGAACACACACAATGACGTCCATGAGAGTTACGCGAATTAACTGTCATTTCAATAACTGTCTCACTTCCATCATCAGCATTTAAAATAGCTCACATACCAAGTAATCCTCCTCGCAATAGACCCTCCCATGAACGTTGTAGAAGGCTTTGCCGCGGAGAGCCCTTCCGCAGGAACAGCATATGAAGCAATTGGTATGATAGAGATTGCCCATTGCCTGACATGCCTGTCCGGCGCCGGTCACTTTCTCACCACATGTATGGCAAATGCCTATCAAGAGATATTGAATGTGAAATTTATGTAATTATTATTACGCGCTACTTATTGCAAAATAATAAAAAAAAAAAAAATTCTTTTGTCGCGACTATACACGTATTTCAAAATTGTTCGTGAAATAACGTGTTGCAGTGTTTCATTTACATATTTACAAACAAATTAAAAGTGTGACGATCCTGGTGTAAAGAGTCGTGCATCTGCTTCTTGTGCCAAAGATCTATATTCAAATCTACCCAGAACACATCAGATTTTATTTGATCGTCACTTCTCGGAAGATAATGTAAAACCACCGAGAATATCTTTACCACGAAAACCTCTTCTAAATAAATTTATAAAAAACATAATCTATTGTACATATATAATTTGGTATTTTGACAGGCGGAAATAAATTTTTGCCAGTCACATACTAAATTATATATTTAAAATTTCTTTTTTTTTTCAAAATTAAAAATTGCCTATATTCAATATATTTAATAATTGATGTTATATTAAAATAACAAGAAATATAAATCATTCAGTGAAGAATTGGATTACTTCGTGAAGTGCGAAGTTCAAAAATCACTCGTCCCAGAACACATTCGCACGGAGTTCAAGAACACGAGAAGCGAGCTTTACACCCATCGGGGAGTTAAAAATATACTCATCGACGAACAAGACAATGTGGCACATTCATCAGGGTTCGCACGTTCATCGCGTTCAAAAATCACTCGGTCTGTCGCGGATAAACACGGATGAAAAACTCACAGCTCTCGATAGGCAATAGCGATCCTGCCATTCCTTAACGCAAAAGTTTTCGTGAAACTTGCATGCATCCACGCTGGCCGTTTCAATATTGCAACTTGGTTTCGCTAGACCAGGCCGAACTAGAACCGATCGACGAGTCGGACTGGTCTATCTATAACGAGATTCGTTAACGAGTACGGCGATACGGCCACGCGTATAGGACGTTACACGAAGACTACTGGCCGTCTAAGTATGAAAGCGACTAGAGGGACATTTACGTTCGCCTAAACGGCTACCACTTCTCGACTGACATTGCTTCGCTCGACCGAGGTTCCTGTCTGCTCGTGCTCCATTCCTTATTGCGCGTGTTAGGCTGCGTTCACATTTATTTTCTATAATTATCGTTACATTGTAGCATATCTACCTTCACCCTTCTTTGCATTGTTTGTTTGATATATTTTGGAGAAAGCAAATTTTCTATCATTCAATATAATAAATATTTGTATAGTATAAATTATTTTATTCTATCGTGGTAGAGATTCCGTCCTATTTATAATAAAAAAGTCAAAGGACTATCCCATTTTTTATATCAATAATATCTATTTATAACAGTAGTATCCTATTTAATTAAAACAGGAAATGTTAAATTTTTACAAAAATGTGATATAGTGAAAAATGTGCAATAACGGTGGAAAAACGTGGTTTAAGAACAAAGAAAAAAATATGAAATGTATTCAACAGAACAGACTATATTTCTCATGAAGTAATTAGCATAAATAGATATATGGAAAATAAAGAGAGAGATAAATAGATAGATAGTATCGTCATTTATTGTGCGCTCCAGGATAAATCCTCTTAAGCGTAGATTTAAGTTAAGAGAGAGAGAGAGAGAGATATTAAGTAAAAAATTTAATTTTCTCATTCTGTGTAAGCTTAAAAATTACATAACCGCTGAAGATGTGATGTTATCGTATACTTGAGACGAGGAAACCACAGATATCAATCTCTTATTGTTGCATCAATTCAAATACGTCGTCCCTATTGATATTAGTATGAGCATTATTTGAACACTTTTAAAGAATCGTGAGTTTCAAGTGCGCTCTCTGTTTGTGTATGCACCTATGCGTCGCACTCGCCCTCGGCCCTTTACGCAAGAGAAAGACGCGTGAAAGAGAGAGAGATACGTGGGTGGAAGCTAATGCGGCACGCGAGAGAGTGAATGTCAACGAAGTGTCGCGCTAAAAAGTATCCGCGACGCACTCCGAAACTCGACTCCGTTTTCCGAAACCGGTCTACTGCGAACTCACGCCGTGGGAATTGGCACAGCCTTGGTATCGTGCCTTTTAGCGTTTCAGAGAAATATCTAAAATTATGGATTTACTCGGGGCGATTGTACCGTGCGAACCTGCGATCGTCGTTTCCTTAAATCTTCCTCTCTCGTCTTTCACCACAAGTACGGAAGAGAAGCAAAACGAAAATATGGACAACGCCAGAAAGTACTGCAAGAAATAGTACTGACTAAATAATGTGTGTCTAGGATAGGATGTGTGTCTCGTTATCGCGTAAAAAATATAAGACACGAAGCGTCACGTAACGATAATCTCGGTTTTCCGGGACGAGCATTCGCATAAACATTGCGTAAGCAAATTTTTTCTTACCGAAATACTCGCCCTCTTCCTCTTGCTTTTCCATTTCTTCTTCAAGTTGTCTCGTTAATTCCTCTATTTTTCTTTCCGCTTCCGTTGGTCCCTGAGAGAAGTAATTTGCATAGAAAGTATTAATCATTAATAATTAAATATCGAACATAATACGCGTATTTAATAAATACGCCAAAATTATTATTTAACTAATTTCATTTAAAATTAATTAGTCACAAAATTAGTGGAAAGTAGCGGTTATTATTCATTGCTTGACTATATATAGATTACTTATAAAGCAATATTAAAATTTTTACACATAGATTATTATTCTTCACGCTTAAATTTTCTTTATGCTTGACACTCCATATAAATATTGCTAAATGCTATTGCTTTCGATTTCAATGTGTGATAAATGAACAAAGAAGTATGGGAAAAAATGAAAAATGAAGGCAGAAAATGTTAAAATAACATACAGAAATACGGACACCTTATGAATAAAATATCCGGCGAGTGCCCATCGCTTGTCAGCGATGAGCAATTTACCGGTTATGACTCATTGAATGCTTGAAGAAAGAATTTTTCGGGGATGGAATCATAAGCAATTTTTCAAATTTTATGCGTTCCATATTGTGAAATGTATACTTAAGCAACAAAGAAGTGTAAAATGCAAAGCAGAAAAACGTAGTTTTCACAAGTTGTTTTTATTTTTAATATGAATTAATCTGAAGTTTTTTTTATTGCTAAAATGATATATACTTTTTGTACTTGAAGTGAAATAGATATAGTAAGTTTAATATTTGGAGAAAGCCAGAAAGAAAGTTCTAATGCAATCTAGTGCAGCAATAAAATAATCTCTTATCGCCATAGGTCAGATGTTATGTAAAATGAATAAAATTGTCGGCATTAATGAGATCATCGTTAATACAGGATAGAAGAGGCATGCTTAGAAGTTATTTATGATTCTTGAGAAATTGCGTTGAAACAAACTTCAGTGTTGATTTATTTAAATAAATTGCTTTGTGCACTAAGAATGTAATTTAAACAGAATAACATTATGCTTTGTTGCTTATTCTTGCAGAATATTTTATGCAGTACAATAATTTATTCATAGTTAGTTTTATACATTAAAATAATTTATGGTTATTTCTATTGCATTTTTAGTAAAACATGCAATAATGACAACAAATAATGCGATAAAAGGAGACAGGAAAAGATACACACATGCACAGGATTTTTGAAACGAGATTTGTTACAGATATACGATTTGTAAAAGCACACGAACAAATATCTTGCAAGTAGCGATAATTTTACCGAAGGTCTAGAAATGACATTGTAGGGTAACAATCCCTTCCCAGGCACGGGCTTGATCGGCGGGCTAACAGATTTTCTTTCCTCTGCTTCCGAATTAGAAGGCCTTTGCAACACAGGTACACCAGCATTTAAGAGCACAGGCCCTGCAACTCCGCTGGTAACACCCGGAGGGAGGCTCGTAATCCTGGGACCGGCGTTAGTGTCAATTTCATTGGACGTCGTTGAAGCACTATTGACAGGAGCTTGTACCTGTCCACGTATAGGACTTCCAATAGAAGTGGTGGACGAAAGAGACTGTCCATGTCTGGGTGAATTAATTATATTTTGCGAAGCAATGTCTAATGGCATCTGACCATGCGTTGGGCTTGTTTTCGGAGATTCTCTTACTGCATTATTGTTGGCAATATTAACAGTCCTCGCAGGATCACTCCGACTTGGAGAGTATAGAGACGAATTCCTTGCAGGTGGGAGATCTGACACATCTGACATGTAGCTTCTGTCACTTTGTTGCAATGTGCCTAATCTCAAGTGTTCTGTGGAGCGATTTGAAGAATAAACAGGAGAATTTCTTGCAGGAAAATTTTCTTGATGATGATAATTTCTGTCATTCTGTGGCATTGCTCGATTTGGAGAATAACATGGAGGATTACGACATGCTGTCTGTTCTCCTGGACGAATTCCATATACTGGAGAATTTCTGGTTTGCGCGTCCCCTGTGAAATTTGTGTTTGTAGTCCTTGAAGAAGCCTCAATATACTGCTTATAATTCTGCGGATTATCCTGTCGAAACTGAGAAGGTTGGTTAGTATCAACCTGATTCGTAGCACGAAATCCTTGTTGTCCACTCATAGTATTTTCCAACGAACCGCGATAATGATGAGATTCTGGCGGCAGGCGTATCGGAGGAGATTCGCTATGATACGGCAAACCAGATCTTGGAGACTGTTGCTGCTGCTGTTCGGCGTTGTAAGTGAAGTTTCTGTTTGGTGGTTGCAATTCGGAGGGAGGTACGTAAGCGCTTCTTCCAGACTGATGATCTGAGGAGGCAGAGGATGAGCCCTGTAAGTACTTGGCAGTAGAAGAATCAATTGATCGCTGTAAACTTGAGCTATCGTAACTTTGACCGCGTATACTTCCGCTTCTTTGCTGGGTGTACGATAAACTTTGAGTCATACCACGTTGATTCGGAGACTGACCCACCTTTCCAGTCATAATAACGTAGTCACCGCCATTAATATTTGCTGGATGATAATAATTCGGCGGTACCTGTGGTCCCGGCTTGTTCTGCATGCTCTCAGAGAAGTGCACCTCCTGTATGTTTTCGTATACCGGTGGCGCTTCGTACGGCGGTAATTCTTTTGCTGGTGACGCACTTTGATAACGATTGCCAGTTGGCACTTGCGGTTGAGCTTTCCTGTAATTACCTTCATAGGAATCACCAACTAGAGAACCTCTAGGACTACTTTTGGGACTCTTTCTAGATTCTATTGGATGGTAATAAGGGGGATGTGATTGACTCTGCTGCGGATAATAATCTATATTCTCATAAACAGGTGCCTGTTGATGGCTCGTACGAGTCTGATTCTGTTGTTGCTGCTGCTGTTGATGCTGCTGCTGCGCACTGATTTGTTCTACTGGCTTCGGTGTTGCAAATCGTGAAGCAGCTATTATGTTTTCACGCTCATACAATTTGTAGTCCGCTGTGGCTGCCTGTCTGGAAATATCCGAAGAATTTCCTTCAATAAAGCTCTCGATAGCGCCGACTGGTCTACCAGACGCTCTGGCGTCGTTTCTGTTAATCGCATTTCTCGACACAGGTACCTGGGCCTCGGGCCTGGAACCCGAGCCCCTGGTCGTACCACCAGCATCCGCAGTGTCATCTCCAAGATGCAAATAACCTAATTTTTGTACGTAAGAAGTATCTGCCGAATTGCACATTGGCAGTGATTCTCGTTGGCGCGATGGTAAGTCAGAATGTCGTTGAAGTCTTTCGCGTGCACTTTAATTGAATTTTTTAAATCAAGGAGCTGTCGACGAATTCGATTCGAGGCGTATCACGTATCACGTATACATGCTGTGTCACAGTAACCAGGTAGTACTCCGTTTGTCAAAACGATCTTCCCCTACTTGCTCCTTCCTCGTTCTTCTCCTTCTTCTCTCTTTTCCTCTTGCAATTCTTCTTACGTGTACGCTCTCGTAATCTTCTCACGGGATAGCACGAAATCCGACGCGAGATATATGTTGCGCGAGGCGCAACTACGAAACCCTCTTTTCTCCCTCGATTTCGGGCTACGCCCCTCGATCACGGCGCTCCGGAATTGTGTTGTTGCTCCTCGAGTGCGAACACGCCGACCGGCGCACACCTCCGGGCTTCTCTCCGTTTCGGCACCGAAAAATCACCACCTGCGAAAATTCATGCGACAGCGCATACGCACGCAACAACGCAGGAATAAGTCAGCATCGTCTCCTGTCAAGACAGAAACCTGCGACAGGCTGTCGTGGGCATGGCTGTTCTCGTTGCTCCTTACCATGCTGTGGCGCTGAAAGTAAATTCCATGTAATATGGACTAACCAGCAACGTGGGAATTATGCGAACCATACTGGTTCGCGCCATACGGTAAGCCGGTTCCAGATGGTTCCGTTCGGTTAGTCGCTGGTGCCATCAGTGATGCGGATGAAAACTAAAGATGTGCTCGGTTTTCAAGTGTTAACTGTTCGTAAGATAACAATTGAATTACGTTATGCATCTAGATTTAATAAAAAGAGAAATATTATTCTAAAATTCTAATTTTTTTGCAAATTAATTTTTTTTTAAATAGCTTTATAAAATTTTTAAATCAAACAAGGTTTTATACATTTTTTAAAAATGTCTTTAATAATATTTGATCAAATTGGTAAATTGTAAATTTTATTATAACTTTTTTTAGTAAGAAAATTAAATTGTTTTCACCCCAAAATCTTCAATCGTAAATAAGAATAGAAAAGGATCTTTTCGACGCAGCGATATTAGATAAGTGAAATGCAAATGATGATGGGAGATCCTGAAAACAGGTTCTGCTTAAGATCAGAATATGTTGGCAAAGATATGATGCCGATCTCGTGCGTCTTCATACAGTTGTGACTGCTGTGCACAGAATAATAATGCGATATAATTCCATTGTGTTTTATTTATTTTACAGTCGCTTTGACATATGTTCTTCTTGGTGAGAACAAAAAACGATGATATTTCAAAATCATCCTTCAAATAAATTACAATAGTATTATTAACTAATCAATTAATTAATTCGACATACAAATTCATAGTTTCTATTTACCAATTTTGCAAATGATTTATATCTAATGTATTTTAATCCGAAAGAGACACTTATCTTTTGTCGCCCTTTTTGCTGACTCTGCTTTCATCCTAATTAAATTTAATTATGCGCTTTCGCGCATGACCTATAAAGATAGTAATTTTCAACGCAATTGCAATAGGACCCGAGATTCAGGATAATCAGGGGTTTGTGTGCAGTCGCGCGGCTCATCTCATGATCGATGAATTCTGAGAAGTGTGCCAGCGATGGAACTAATTGCGCTATATTCTTATTCTTTATCTTTTTATTCTCTTCACATTAAACTGTAACATTTTCAGATGAATGGGTTAATTATCGCGTACAGATCATTCATATCGAAGTGCCGTCTACATAGATTACAGTTTCCGAGATCTAATTGCGTGGGATCAATAATATTCTCGCTTAAGTTGATAAGTATAAAGTAATTCTACGTACTCCATTTACGTAATTTATGTTTAAATTAATATATAATTTGTAATTTTATTTATTTTAGCCGTTTATTAATTGGAACATACGAAATCGCAAATTTATAATTAAAGTTCACGAGTTACATCTCTACAATTGATTGACAAATTATTATCTAAACAGATTTCAAGCCATGACTGATTGTGATATCAAATTAATATCTAAGAAATTAACACTCTCATGATTACTAATACACTTAAAAAATTCGAATACACCTAATCTGACGACGTCGCGCGTGGTACTTGCCGTAATCGCGCGTCTCCCTGTCGTCCTACGCAAGAAAGTAACCAAGTTTTCACCCGTCGCATATCGCAGCTGTTTGCCGCACGGCGCGATAACGTGGGTGTCGTGACCTCGCTCAACGAAAACCTTATATTTCCGAAAGGTGAGTAAAAAACGCAGACTTCAAGCCCTCTCGCACCACCCACGAGACAGTCGGCACCCACGTTTCGCCGGGCACCTGTGCGACTATATAGCCGGGCACGTTGGCTAATACCGGTTGATCGATCGATCGGTCCAGCTCGTGACGCAATCGCTTATATTCAAGATTCGGTTTCCGATTAATTCGCTAATATCGTAGAGGCATCTATCGCTGTCCATATGCTTCCTCGTATCTTATTAACACTAAGTTTCTACGAAATGCGCAAAGCATACAAAGATAAAGACATTTTCATTTCTATTTTTTGATAATTTCTCTATGACTTGCTATTTTTCGATAACGAAGTCCTTTTAGTATTATAATATATTATTTAGTATTATTTAGTATTATATAATATATTCAATTATTTGTGTACGTGTGAGATTTTAAAAATGATGGAAATAACAAGCGCCGGAAAATTATGTCCGCTAGGTACACTAATTTCTTATCGTCGTAGACACCGCCGCGCCGCAGGCAGTATCGCGTGAGCATGAGTATGCAAAGTGCGTACTGTAAGACGCATCGCGTCTCGAACGGAAGTGCAGTGACCAACACGCACGGCACGGCAGCGCATTCCCGTCGCACGAATCTTTATGTGACATAAAGTCTGATACACGTGTCACGTCGATACGACAATAAACAAGCCAATGTTTATACGAGCACACGTTGACGCGCGTTGACGTACATACATTATAGAACCGCGGTTAGACGTAATGATTTTTTAGGCAGGAAGCGCATCTTTACTCATATTCCGAACGCACGGAATAGTCGATGTGGATGACCGATTTGTGAAACAAATTACAATACAGAAAACAGTCGAAAATACGCACGCGCATGTATATTGTAAACATAAAAATGTTTACTTGTATATATTGCGTAAGAAATTTAGTATAATGTAAATTCGTTCTATGTATATGCATACTTTAAAGTACTGAATATAATCAACCACTTGCATGCACGTCTCAGACAGGCGATGCTTATGCAGCGCTGTTAATTTGCTTTCCGATGCTGACTAGACAAAGAAAGGTTTCATTGCGGAAAGGTATAAAGCTAATATCGTAGAGAGATCATTTAATTAGCTGGCAACGTAATTAAGCAGAGAATATTATTGTATATATTTTGAGAGTAAGATGATTAATATCTTACATCTTTTAATATCTTGATAATTTCACAAGATGTGGAAAATATGCTAAATTTTGAGAAATATTAAGAGTATGAAGCTTTTTTTGAATACTTTTTTAAAATCAGATTAACGAAAATGCCGTTTATTTCTCAAAAGATTAATTAAAAATTTAAGGATTTTTATAAATCCTTAAATATTTTATAATCCTTAAATAAATCCTAATTTTATGTTCGATAAAAATGTATAAATATAATGATGGTTAAAATATAAGATTTTCCCTTTTTTTTCACTACACACACATCAACTATGATTTCCATAATATCCTCGCCGTTTGTCATCGAGTCCTTACGATTATCGCAATAAAGGTCGCATGCATGCAAATTATGTAAAGCAACATCGTAGCCAAGTCGTTCAAACAAGGAAACAGAGTGTAACGAAAAATGAAACGTATGCAAGACGCACGATAGTAAAACATGGATTATGAAACGAATGCTCGTCGGCTATATAAAGTACACGAATTTCGCCGGCACGGCGCACGCATCTGGCAATCTATATTTCTTCATTCGTAACAACGCTGCATTCCGTCGTCGTCGCTTTTTTGTGCCGTCGAATCGAATTCTTGCGTTGCCTTCCAAGTTGCCTCGAGCAGCGGAAACCTTCTGCGTTCCGATAGTGAGTATATACGCGAGTGCACGCGCTTCCGTTCCACGCTCACGAGCTTCCACATTGGTGTCAGTTGACACGCATGCGTGTGTTGATACTTATTTCGCTTCTTGATTATTAACCTGACAAAAAATTGATCCAAAACCAAATTTTTGTCCATGGTGAACCACGAATTCTGGAGCGGAAGCGCATAAGAGGTTACGTCCACCATTCGCGATCTTTTATGCGCTTCCGTTCCAGAATTTATTTCTCTTCCTCTTTCCCTTTTTCTCTCTCAATGTAAAAAATCAAGTCCTTGTCAAATACCATCATTATTTCGACACTTGGATAATTGGGTTACAATATTGAATGTTTTTTCTGATTGACAATGACAAAAAACCCATTATCCTTGCGAAGATATATGAGAGGAAGGAAATGACAAAATTGAGTCTAATGGACGTAATGATTGGTAAAGTGGCGAAATCCGTATTTCCCTCTGGCTAAGAAATACTTGTCATGATTTACAGTCGTATCCAGACTAATCTTTCTTGCGCGACAAATTGAAAGAAGGAAAAAGATTAGAGTGGAAGATGTTGCAGACGGAGAAATAAGATGTTAAAGTAATATTAGTTTGAATTCATTAAATTAAAATTAAAAAATTTAATTTGTCATTTATACGCGTTATTAAATAGGAATTATGTGTATGTAATCTTCTTCTATAGTAAGAAATATTTTTTCACTTGTTACGATTAACATAAAGATATGCTCTTAAACTTTTTATGAATCTAATCAATTAGCTTGAAATAGCGCATAAAAAGTGTAAACATACATGTATAAACGTGAGCGAAGACATTTACGTAATGATGCTTTATATATATATATATATATATATATATATATATATATATCCATCTCTTAATTAAAATAGCTTTTGCGCATCTATTTCTTAAAAAAATATATTGCTTAGAAAATTAATTGCTCGGCTTGATAGAAATATATGTTGTAGCAATATAGAAGTCCGAGTTCACGTATCTCAACTGTACATCTTTATTGATGAACAGTTCCGCTGCAAGTGCCCGAAGAAATAATCCCGAGACGCATCCAGTATTCGCGACCGCTGTTCCCATCCATCCTCAAGAGGACAATAGGTCTCTTCTGACAAAGAGAAGAGGCTGCTTTCCTTTCTCAGAGTTCTGTACGAGCTAGAACCGCGACCGACTCGCCGCGCTGGCTTTCGATCGTCGTTGTCTTGAAACCAAGAGCGACTCGCGGTGAGATAAATGAAGAATGAGAAAAGTATATACAATGAATTATAGATTTGTAAAATTCAAACAACGCTTTTAGAATAACTTGAGAAATTATTGCCACGCAGACATTTCGAATAAATTTAACGAGAATTTATTCACTTTGACGATTAATATTGTAGACAAGAATCTTTAACTCGATATCTAGGATAAAATGCTTCAAAGTCAATCGTTATTTAAAAACTAACGGATTTGGGAGGGCGCACAGGAAACAATAGAATGAGCAATTGTTTGGGA